GAATAGTGGGATTGGCCGTCACATTATAACGCTCCCCACGGCTGAAAGGGCGAGCATCTATGGTGTGACGGGGATTCGAACCCGCGACCCGCAAATTGCGTTTCGTCCGCTCTAACCAACTGGCCATGCCGAGTCTCAGAAAGCTTTTAAGTAACATTCAAAGATAGTAGATTCGGTAACTTAGAAAAAAAATTAACAGCAGCATAATGTATACGAAAAGATTTAAAATTGTTAGTATAAAATATACCCAACATTTTTACTCAGACCAATCCTTTTTAGATACCAACGACGAATATGATAATTTTTTATTTGTGTTTTCTTCAACATTGACATTTATTTATTTCTATCTTGCACATTTTTAAATGTATCAGATAAATCATTCATTTAGGGTTATAAATATTTTTTTTCTTTTTAAGAGTTTTTTTCTTCGTAGTGTAAGCACAAAGCTATACAATGAGCTATCTGTACTCTGCCCACCATGGGTATCGAAACCCGGTTTCTAGCGTTGTAAGTCCACAGCTATATTACTGTGCCACTGAGGGTGTTGTTTTCTTCTTCTTGTTTTTCTAGTACAGTGGTTTCACTTGGTGTTTATATATGTACTCAAGCTCATTGTATACTACAATTATCAAAGTAAGCTATTAAGATGCTTATATGTATATTAACAGCGCCATTTTGTTTATCGATCACGATTAGACTAAACTAGTGTAATAACGTATGTTTAGATTGGACGAAAACAACACTATAGAAAAATCAAGTTGTTGCTCTCTGTAATAATTAACTTTCCAGACGGATAAAACTGAACGAAAACAACGCTATAGAAAAGTCAAGTTGTTGCTCTCTGTAATAATTAACTTTCCAGACAGATAAAATAGAACGAAAACAACGCTATAGAAAAGTCAAGTTGTTGCTCTCTGTAATAATTAACTTTCCAGACAGATAAAATTGAACGAAAACAACGCTATAGAAAAGTCAAGTTGTTGCTCTCTGTAATAATTAACTTTACAGACAGATAAAATCACGTACACGTAAACAAATTAACTTTCCATTCATATCACCCACAAATATGCGTAATTCCTTTCTTCTCAAATATCGAGATAATCCAAATTATTGGATTCTTTTAGTATTCTCAGTTTGTTTTACAAACATATATAATTCTTCAAATCGAATTCAGTTTTACAGATTTTTTAATCGCTAAAATTTAACTTCTTTTAACAAACTTTTTCTTTTCTGTTTGTTTTAGTTTCCATTATTTTACTATTTCTTTTTATCAGACCTTTACTTTTTTACTGTTCCTTTTTTACCAGACTTTTACTTTACTATTTTTGTCTTTTTTACTGTTCCTTTTTTTACTAGACTTTTACTTTACTATTTTTGTCTTTTTTACTGTTCCTTTTTTACCAGACTTTTACTTTACTATTTTGTCTTTTTTTACTGTTTCTTTACTTGCACTAATAATTTACAACTATCACCATTTCATTTCTGAATACTTACTCTTGAAATCATTACTCGCTCAACATAAATACTTGCATGAAATTTGGAAGGACGGGATTTTACATTATAATATATTGAACCAGTTAACTAGGCCTAAAAGATTCGCGATCAAGGTATGAACATAATCTTCAAGCACTAAAACAAGAATGTCTGACCATAATACAGAATCCTACTCTATAAACTGTTGTATAATTTATAACATTGAGAAAATGTGTATGCGAAGCATATGTTGGATGGTATTCAATGCTTGCTTGTGAGAGAAACACCATCGATCTACTATGCTTCGTAAGTTAGTGAAGACATATATTACTCTTGAGAATATTTAATAAACAAGAACCTTTGTTATGTATGTATATAGATGGTTTAGTACGTTATATTCAAGCGATTTTAAATATGAAATTCGACAAATCACGTGACAACCATGGCCGCCATAAAGTTACGGTGGAACGGCATGTAATAAACCAACATTTTGATATTGTTTGGAGTTCTTAGATAGCGTGACGCAAATGAAAACTGGACACTTTTGAGAAGGGTGTGTAACAGTTTTTCCAAATATTCGAAGACGAGATTACACTGGGGATTTAGTGTTTCCAAGAAGAGGATATTTTTTGTCCGTACTAGAAACGTGGCTCAACTTGAGACACTAAGACCACCCAGAACGAGACCTGCATCAAGTCGTACTGCAGTTGTGGTAAGTAAAACGTAGCGACATTTAACAGGTGACAGTCAACGAACACAAATTCAGAGATAAAAGCCGTCCACGTGGCCCAGGTAGTAGTACTCAACAGCCTCCCCCCCCCCCAGTGGCACAGCGGTATGTCTGCCGGACTTACAACGCAAGAATCCAGGTTTCGATACCCGTGGTGGGCAGATCACAGATATCCCATTGTGTAGCTTTGTGCTTAACTTCAAACAAACTATACAAACATTGACGCGCCTCAACTCTACGTTTAGGGTTAAATACATCGATACTTAGGTTTATGAAGATGTTGGTAAAAGGTGATAAATACCCTGAACGATAGGGTGTTTATACAAATAATGCTGTGTACTGAGATATATTTTGCAATACTTAGATATTTCATACATGTTTTTATATTTAATGACTTTAATACACAAAACTGCATTTGCCATTTCATAAAGTGTTACTTTTTGTGCATTCTACTCAAATATATTCAACTAGTAAGTATAAAAACACTTTGTACACGAAGCACGAGTTCCCCAATGTGATTTTTATACTATATTTGTCTATAGTAGGTAAGTTGACGTTCTTTTATTATTTTTTCGCTTTGTACATTCAGCTGCGAGTGCATTATGAGTGTAACAATCAATCTCGCTATTAGTTTAAGAGTAGCTTCAAGCAGCGGTTGAATGATTGGTAAACCACCCCACCCCCCGTCCATACTTCAAAATTAGAGGCTGCCATGTCTGAATCATAAGTCTCTGACATTGCTTTTCAGCCCACTGTGTGTAAGTAAACAAACGAGGTATTTAGTTGTTAGTTTTTCTTCACCAAAAGTCAAATGTCTGTGAAGAAAAGATAACCCATTCTTTCATTCGCTGGTTAGTCCGCTGAATAATGTTGTATAATTAATTGCGTATCTCGCATATTATCCAAACACCTAAAATATTTTAGGCTATTAGTGGTGAGTCAAAACCGAACCAAAAAGTTCTAAAATCTTTAATTAAAGAAGATCTGTCACAAATGATTACACTGTATGAAAACCTGTGAGACAAAGTTTAATCATCATGCACACTGGTTAGGAGAGCAGAAACTGGACTCCGTGTATGGTTTAATGAAATGAATGAGAAAATATTTTTAGGCGTGTTTAACCGTCGTTAACACGAGAAAATTCTAATTGACTGTTACAACTGAGAATTTGTGTGAAACGCTGAAAATCTGAGCTTAAAAGATGACCATTAGAAAACTAATACCAGTTTGTATGATAAAAAGTAATGCAACTGTAGTGAAATCAATTCTAGTAACCTAGCATTACGTCACCAGGTCACAGTCACAATAGACAATATGCGAATGAAAATATATCGAAGTTGTTTAGAGTCCAGTGAAACCAAACACAGTGCGACCACGTGTGAGAAATGACGTTATCGTGTTGTTTCTCCACCTTTCATTTGTTAAAAAAGTTATATATTCATACGTTCCAGAAATGTATACGTTTTTCTGCTATCGTGGAGTTGAAAATACGTCATTTGATTAAGACTTTTGGTTTTTAAACACAATGGACTGTCTGTGATCTGCCCTTCGTGAACATCAAAACTCCTTTAGCAGCATAAGCCCTCAGATTTACCGCTGAATCGTAAGGGGTGGGGGTAGCAATTCAGACATAAAAGGATATGTTGTAATTGTGATAAAAGTACGAGAAAAGATGTTAGGAATTTCTCTCTCTCTCCTTGTTTTCTTCTTTTTTTTTAAGGTGAAAACTATCATTTCAAGAGTAAAGAAGACATTGCCAAATCCACACATTTTAATGTTTTATCACAAGTTCTTAGTGTTCTGTTTGGATTATATAAAAAACAGATTAAAAACATTTTTACTTGTTTTGTTTAAAAGAATGAAGATTTGTCATATATGGAGGACTAGTTTTTAGACTGTAACTTTAATATGAAAAAAATACTCATTAATTTATTGTCTTGGTAGCCTCAAACCACAAAGCATGAACAAAACATTTTCATTTTTGTAACTTAATATTTTTTAGCCATTTTCATTTCATTACTTTTTTAACCACTTTCTGTTATATATTTATTTTAATGTAATTTAAAACTTTTTAATTTAATATTTCTTTTGACATACTAGAGGCTGTTACAAATTCATATTTAATTCAATGTTAGTGATTGTCTCATTAATTTGATGAAGGGTATAGCCTCCACCCCCCCTGAAATGTAATGTGCTTGAAAAATAAAACCAATTACCTTGTATTGAAGTTTTCCATACCAGAGTTCTGTCAAAGTGAGTAATCAACACAATGTTTTATTATTTGATTTGGTATTTAAGTTAGTTTAATATTTCCATCATATCTGTACAGATGCTAAATACTGATTTAATCTGAATACTTGATTGTGTATATAGTGGTTTTAAAAAAATGTTTTTTTTTTTTTCTTTCTTTCTTTCAGGAGCTGGGTTACAATACTAACTTGAAAGTTAATCTTCAAGATTTGACAGTTCTGTTGGAAGAGGAGCTAACTACAGCTTGCCAGTCCAGCGGATTTCAGTTTTCTTTGACAACATACCTGAATGAACTTCAATATCTCAAGTAAGTTATTCGAGAGTGTGATTAAGTAACACAAGAGAAAACTTATTGTTTACACAGGGCAAATAAAAGTGGCATCATAAAAGATTAGTCCCCTGGTGACACAGACTCACATAGCAAAAATCCAGAGTTTGATTTTCTGTGGAGGACAGAACATAGATAGCCCATCGCATACCTTGTGCTATGAAAACACAGTAATGAAAATAAAGAGATTGTCTACAAAAAAAACCTTGGTAGTTGTTAATAAAATGTGCACAAAAATAAAAAAATGAATTAATTTTATTGTGTAATAATTTTTTGGTAAACTAATTAACACAAAGGATAAAGTTTTACTTTGAAATCACCAAATAAAATATTTTCAATTACTAAGTTTTTAAGACTTGATTTGGTCTGATAGCTAGTGTGCTCAGGCTGTGAATTCAGACGTTTGAAGATCATGGCTCATTATTGCACAACTGTGCTCAGTACTTTGGGATTATGGGTGTGTTATGAAAAAAAAGTTAGTTAAGACCTTGCCGTGCCTTTGTGAAGCACATAGAGTTAGCGCTTTTGAACTCTCCTTTCAAATGGCATAAGTGGATGAGCCACAAAAAAGTTAACTGTTGATTGGCTGCCTTCCCTGTAGTCTGTTAGTTCAGAATTAGGGACAACTATGTGTAAATAGCTCTTCATGTAGTTTTGTGGGAAAATTCAAAACAAAATTAAATTTTCATAACATATTGATTCAAATTTTAGATAATTGATGGCTGTAATGCAAAAGGGTGTGAATAATTATCAAAATATTTTGGTTAATCATTTTAAAAATAACATTTTTTTAAATGATAAATATATATTAATGGTGAAGGATATCAAACATATAGAAGCAAGAAGACCCCAAACTAAAATTTTGAAACATGATAATTTACAGTATTAGGAAAACTTTTTATAATTTTTTTGTTCTTCTACACTAAGACATCTTAGCATAGATTTTTATATCAGATGAAGAGCCCTTATGAAATCCTGTATAGTATATTTAATGTTTCAAACACTGACTGTAAGGTTTGTTGGATATTTGCTTGAAGATCTTTACTACAGAGGGTTAAGAACAGTTTGGATACACTAATGTAGTGGCATGTCTCGGCAGCTGCTCATGCAAGTCATGGCATCATGTTAAGTGATACTTAACTTAATCCTTTTGCGACCTGAAGGCACATAAGGCCAATGCATTGCTCCAGTTTTCTCTGAAACAAGTATTTGAGAATGATGACCCCCACCCCAATATAGGTACATATCTATTCAGTCATTGCATGCACCCCAGTGGCACAGCGGTATGTCTGCGGACTTACAATGCTAGAAACTGGGTTTCGATAATCGTGGTGGGCAGATCACAGATAGCCCATTGTGTAGCTTTGTGCTTAATTCTGAACAAACAAACAAAACAATTAATGCATATTTCAAGCACCTGGAAAATATAACAGTAATTCATTTTAAAACATTTAAAAGCTTTTGTAACTTAGCATTGTTTACACTACTTACTAGTGCATTAAACATAAAGAAGCCTCTGTAACTAATACTGTATACATTACCAACAAGATTTATTAAAATTAAAACAGCTTGTGTAGTAATAGATCTATTAATGCCATTAACTACATACATTAACTATGCACATGCTTCTGTAACTTTAAACCTGTTTAGTGCCATTAACTACATATATTAAACATGCACATGCTTCTGTAATTTTAAACCTGTTTTAATGGTGTATCTATATAATAAAAGACTTCATTCCTAAAGACATTATCATTAATAAGTTTAATCTTTTTTCTTTTGAGATACAGACTATGTTAACTAACAGTGTATATTTTCCATGTAGAACAAACTATGAACAAGTAAAGGCAGAAAGAAACAAATTAAGAGTTAGTCTAGCAGAAGCTAATAGCAGAGCTGCCCTGCTTGCACAAGAAGTTGATGATCATCATGCCAAGTTAGAGAAGGCATCGCAGAACAAATTAATGTGAGTTTTTATAATACTAGCAAGTATCTAGGTTTAAGACTTTAATATATTAACTTGCAGGAACAAAATAAATAACTACATATTTACTCTGTGTTAACAGTTTTATAGTTTTAACAATCAGAAGCATGTTAATACTAAATACTCCTCTACCTTTTTCCTATTATTATTCATGTTATGAACTTCAAAGATTGAATATACAGTATAAATTGTAATTTAATTCTAAGTCATATTATTGTACTCACTTACCATAAAGAAATCTGACTAATATAAAAAGTAAAAACACAAAAAGTGAAACAGAGTTCTGCAAGTAATGTTTGTGTATTAAAATCAAATATCAAATATAATGGTTCCATAGAGAACTATTGCAGATACAGTAGATATTCATGTAGAGAAAAGTTCAGTTGAAAAGACTTTCTTTATCCCAACTTCCTAGAATTATTATTAAGTTAGAGAAACATTCAGTAGGCTAGACTCTTATTATTCTAATTTCCTAGTCTTATTTAAGCAGAGGAACACTTAAGGATAGACCTTTAATATCCTAACTTTAGTGAAGCCTTATTTAGGTAAAGAAGCATTCAATTGGACACACTTTCTTTATCCCACCTGAGAAACTTCCAAGTAGGACATATATTCTCCACCCCTACCATCAAAGAGACTTATTCAGTAAAAAAAAACATGTTAAACAAATTCAGCCTGATTACTGAAAAACCAGCTTGCACATAGAATAAAAAATGTTTTTTTAAAGTAATAATGATTTACTCATAAAGATTGATATGAGCAAAAGAACTCTTGAAAAATGGACACTAACATAAAATCACTCCTTTTTTTTGTGATTGTTAGTTTTATCTAGTCTACAATACATACACACAACTCAACATTAACATGCAAAGATATTATTTTAAAAATTTTGTTTTTTTTCTTTTGGAGTTATATTTTTAGTGCAGTTAAATAAAGTACACTAATGGAGTTTTGGTTATTTCAGTAAATTTAAAATCACAAAATCCAGTTTTAGGATAATTTTCTAATAAATATTATCTTATAGTTAATTAGAGATAGAATATGTGTAAAATGTGTGCTTGAGAGGGAAATGTTTAATGAGATTGTTCTTTCACAACTGATACTGTTCCCTCTGCTAAGACACATAGAGAAAAGATACCAGGAGCAACTGAGAGATTTACAAGAGGAACTACAGAAAGAAAGAGATTCTTTAACAGCACACACATCTCGTCTGAAAAAGCAGCATCAGGAGGAATTAGAGTTGGTTCGAGATGAAGAAAATAAGCTGCGTAGCAGACTGTCTACTTTAGTGAAGGTAAGAGAATCTTTATAACATTTATGGGCTTATTTTTTTATTTTCCTGCCTTTGAAAAAAAACTATAGTAGAGATATCTGTTAACAGGGAGAATGATTAATTATCTCGTATATCACCAGAACTTGGCATTCCGTACATGTACCATTATTCACTTTTGAAAGATATGGTGCTTATATCTTTAAAGAGAAAATTCCATTTTCAAAATTGAATTAGCTTAGAATAATCTTTGATCTGACTTTACTTTATGAAACTTATTGTATTCTAAGATTATTATTGATTAACTAAATAAAAATATTTAAACTTAAGTTTGCAAATATTAAAATGAAGACAATAAAGAGCATAAGTAAACAAATAAGTAACAATTAATTCAATGTATTATTAAAGAAAGGGGATCAATTTGTAAAAGAAATTAAGCACGATGTGAAATATCTGATGAAATCTTTTACTTAACATTGTTTACTCCAAAATATCTTTTATTTTCTGTTTGGTGTGTTTTTATTTCTGGTATATAACAGTTTCATTGATATTTAGTTGCACATGGTTTAACCAGTGTCATCTAACATATTCTTTCTCAATCTTAAATCTCTCTTGAAAATTTTACTTAGCTGACAGCATCAATATGATACTTGTTTTGCTATATAAATGATAGCTTTGAATACACTGTTATTAATTAATATACCATTATCATAAAGGAAAATTCTCGTCTGGAGTCTGAGATTCTAGAAACAACTGAAAAGTTCAGTGAAGCTAAAAAATTAAATAACGTCCATCAGAAAGAAATAGAAACTGTGGGAGAATTAAAAGAGAAGGTAAGAGAAATTTCAACGAATCTCACAAGTTCCTTAGATTAAAGCAGGTTGTCAAATTTATATTATCATTATGTTTTAAGAAAAAATTGCACATCTTTTACAACTATCGGTCTTTTATTTATACATATAATTCTAATACTCTTAGTGAAGCAACCATCATTCTTGTATTTATACATATAATTCCAGTACTATCAGTGAAGCAACTATCAGTTTTATATTAATACATATAATCTAAAAGCATCAAAGAAGCACCTATTGTGTTGTATTTATATTTAAAACATCAGTGATGAATATTTCAAACATAAATCAGCTTTTAAAAAAAACAACTAAAGATTTTTGTAAAGTTTAAATTAATATTTATATGCAACTTAGCTATTACATAAAATTTACACATCTTTACATGCATGACTAGTTTTTTTGTTAGTTCTTTTTTCAGCTATATTTATGTTGCAAAATTTTCTTTTTTAATACTCTGATCCAAGGTATGCACATTTTTTTTAATATTAAAAACAAAGTTAGAAATATGAACTAATTCTAATGTTGATACTTCAGTTCACATGCCAAAACTTAAATAACATTCTTCATGTTATTTAATATTTTACAATATTTTTGGAGTCATTTTTACCTTACATGATTCTCAAGTTACTTTGGGTTTTACTTTTTGCAATGTTCAGTTTGAAATGATAAAAAAAAACTGTCTGAAGTTGTAGTTTTGTATGTTACGAAATCTAAAATTTATAGGAATACTTTTGGTGTTCTAATCAGTGTCAGCATTTCCTAAACAGGAGTTACATTTGCTTCAGTTGAACATCTTAACCCTTTTGATCGGGATGGTTCCCAAAAAGTGTCAATTATCCACCAAAAAATGAAATTAGAAATTTGATCTTTTCTAGTCTTTTTTGTGAAGCCATGGGGTAAATCCGCTTGTCGCATCAACTGGCTGTAAATGTCAAAGAGGATATATTTGCTTGACGCATTGTAAGGGTTAAATAACAGATGTTTTGTTTGCAAATTAAGAGTTTTGTTCATGAGTTTTAATGTCAAGTTTAACAACTTAATTCTGAAATTTAGATACACAGGACTCTCATTCCTTACTTTGGTCCAGTTGTTTCCCCTTACCTTGATTTAGCTAGCCTAACTTCAGAAAGTTCATAGGACTTGTTTATTTTCATGAGATATATAGGATAGATAAGTAAAAACAATAATTATTGATAATTTTAAAGCTTTTTTGTGCAGTTATGAGTAAAGATGCAAGAATGGATGTGATTATATTCACAAACACAAGTTTATTTACACTAATTTAAAACATATCTTTGGCCCACTGAAACAGAGTAATAAGTGTCACTGACATCCCGAGTTGCATATTAGTTATGACTTAGTTCTCTTATTCAATGTACTAAAGATGTAAGTACATGTTTGATGAAATTCTAACTAAACTATGCAAAAGCTTAATGAAGTAAATCATTACAGTTGAAAAGGTGTATGGAATCTGCATTACACATAGACCAGAACTTGAACTTATTATAAGCATTAACATGTTGTGCTATCAATCAGTAGAATGATTTAGTAACACTCTTGAAAACGTTTCAGCTTCTAGAATGGACTGTATTTTGAATTTAATCCCTGTGACCTTGAGAAATACATTATAAAATAAACACATTTAACATAATGTTTATATGGTTTTTAATATTATAAATTTTATAGATTGCAGAATTGGAATCAGGTAGAGATATACTTCAGAACCAACAATATCAGTCCCTTCTTCAAGAATGCGACCAGTACAAGAAACAAAACAAGGTAAGTTACCAACATTATCATTCTCTTCTGGAAGAATGAGAACAATACAAGAAAAGTTAAACAATATAAGCTATCAAATCTTTCAACCCCTCTTCAAGAATATAAACTGAACAAGAAATAAAAAGGTAAGCTGTATAAAAGTAGTAACAGTGGTATCAGATTCTTCGTTCAAGTATAGCAACTATAAAAGAAACAATGAAATAATAAGAACTGCACAAAATTATTACCAACAATATCAATTCTTCATTTCTCAATGTAGAAAAACTACACAAAGTATTTCTTTCTTGTGTCATCTGAAATATTTACAGTTAATTATTGCATATTGGCATTTGAAGTTCAAACTGTGTTAACAGTGATTAATTTTTACTAGAGATTATGTTATTAAGATTTTGATTTTAAAATACTATGGTCATTTCATGCCTTGAAGTTCATCTAGCATCCCTGACCTTATTAGATTTAACATAGTCAAAACTAACAATTTGTTTTGTAAGGTGTGGGAATGCAGAAGTTAAAATGTGTTATAAAACCTGATGGTGAATAATGTGAAAAGAGAATGTAAAACCTGAGGGTGAATAATGTGAAAAGAGAATGTAAAACCTGAGGGTGAATAACGTGAAAAGAGAATGTAAAACCTAAAGGTGAGTACTGAGAAAAGAGAATGCAAAACCTGAGGGTGAATAACGTGAAAAAGAGAATGTAAAACCTTAAGGGTGAATAATGTGAAAAGAGAAGCCAGAATGAAAATGTTATATTATTTTTAAAATGTAGGGTTATAAAAAAAAGGAAAATTTGACAAACATGGCTCACATTTGCCATTGAAGGCTATGATAGTCTATTTTGAACAATCTCTTTCAAGTTAAGCTGTTTTTAATCTCTGTAGATTGTTTTCAAATGTTTTTTTTTTCTTAAATCATTTCTTAAATGTTAAAGGTCAGAAACCTAACATATCTTGAATACAAATTTATAGTAAAAAATTTTGGACAATAGTTAGTACTTTCATCCTCAAAGTTCTTTGGCTACCTTAGGAAGCCTAAGTATTATAAGACATTCAACTAAATGAAAATACACAACTTGTTGTAGCTCTCTCTCATCTATATAGTTATACTTCAGAAAGGAGATTTTTTTTTTCTCCCTAGTCTTATATATTTTGTGAAACTTGCAAAATTTTCCTATGCAACCTAAGTAAAAGGTATGTGTGGTCTGTCACAATATTCTTGAGCTTGTGATACAGTATACATATTTTGCCTTAAAAACTCGGATGTTTGCACACAATGCATGTTACCAAAATAATTTTAGGAAATTTTTTCTATTGTTATGTAGCTTCTGGCTCAGTTATGAAATCCACCCTATGTTACAATAGCTCTGGCTCAAAATTATTTTCCATTAGAGAGCTATTTTACAACTAAGTGTCAGGACATAAGGTAGTGTTTATGTTGAATATATTATTCTCTAGACATCTGTTTACTATGTATTTAAAGTTCTATATCCTATCTAAAGGTGCTCTCTGAAAAACCTTTCATACAATTTTACAGTTTCATAATGTTGCTTTTATAGAGATATTGATTGGTTTCACAAATATCATGAAAACCTCTACTACTTTATTATAAATCTGCTATAATAATTCACAATAACTACATCTGTGCCTTGTCATGGTTGATTTTTCCTCTAAAATTCATTGTTAGAGTGATATTACTGTAGCATTTATTGAAAATAAGAGAATTTACCTAAAGTTAGGCTTTCTTTTTTGTTTGATCAGGAATTACAGGACCACAATGATGAATTAACCTTAGAAGTAGAAAACCTTCGGCAACAACTGACTATGAGTACCAGACCACAGGAGAAGAAACATAAGCGTACAGGCTCTTGGCTTTCTGACTACAATAAAGGAATTAGTTCTGGCAGTCGATTAAAAAGGCGAGGAAGTGATTCTTCTACTGGTGAGTTATTTTAAAATTTATGACCAAATAATCTGATAACTCCAAGTGGTATAAATGTTTGTACACATACTGATAATATCAATATAGTTTTTCTCTAAAGAACACTGTATTATTCACTGTCTGTTGTAGAAGTCCTTCATGTATGTAAAATATATTTATTTAATCAATATCCCCCAAAATCCAAAGAAAAGAAAAGAAAAAAAAAGAATCTGTTCAATTTTCTCTTTGTAAAGGAGCGACTGTATAGTTCTACTTGTTTATACTATCATCATTAGCTTGGGAGAACAGAAAAGAACATTGACACAATCAGTTAGATAATGTGTCACTATAAGAATTAGATAATGAACTTGTTTATACTATCATCATCAGCTTGGGAGAATAGAAAAGAACATTGACACAATCAGTTAGATAATGTGTCATTATAAGAATTAGATAATGAACTTGTTTATACTATCATCATCAGCTTGGAAGAATAGAAAAGAACATTGACACAATCAGTTAGATAATGTGTCACTATAAGCAAAATCTAAATGAAAAGGAAAAATAATAAATATTATCAGAATAGTAACACAAATGATGATATGTGGTGTATTGACCAATTCCATACCTAAGAGATAGACTTAAAAGTTGCCTTACAAACAGTAGTAAAACAGACGACCTTTTAAAATACTTAAGCAAGAGCTTGTTAAGTCTGCATGTGAACATTAGGCAATATCAAGCATGACAAGGCACAGATGTAGGTATTGTGATTTATTATAGCAGTTTTGTAATAAAGTAGTGGAATTTTGCATGATATTTGTGAAATCAATCAATATCTGTATAAAAGTATCTTTCAGCTGGTCAAAAGCAACATTATGAAACTTGCTTTTTTGTTCTTGATTCTTTTATAGCTGAGATACATTTTAAAGTTATTTTTTAACTAGACAACCTCATAGCTTTGAAAATTTTTTAATATTGGACTGATCATACTTCTTGTGTATAAACAGCTTCTGTCACATTTGTGTGGTAATGACATAAACATTGTAAATAAAGAAACAGAAATACAATTATTAATGTGTCTTTCCTAATCACATGCATTAATTGATTAGTATTTCATGTTTAAAAGTTTTTTTACTTCCATTTAAATTTCATTGCTTGTTAAGAAAGGAATTTCAATACTATAGACATTTTCTCAAGTTTACATGTAAATATATATATTGGTATGCCTAGGTAATGTTGAAAGTTCCCAAACTGATGATGGTTTTTTTGATGAAATATTAAGCTAACATACCGATTGTACTGAGCAGTAGAAGATAAATTGTTTTACTATATGCATAACTGAAAAAGCTAAACTGCAATTTACTTTTAGCAGAAATAAAAACAGTTGTATTGTGCAAAGGAAAAGAACAGTTTGATCTCATTCATTGATCTTCTCCTTTTTACTGGTGCATCACATATAATAATGAATATAAATAAACTCGGGTATCATTGAACCTTCAGATCTAGAAAGAATATTATTTACTAAGTAATATTTATTGCTTGAAAACCTTAAAATATTTTTACTGGACATAAGTAAGCAAAATATACAGTAAAAGACTTGATGAAACACCATTTTGTTTCAGGAATTAAAATCACTGGGAATGGTACTAATTATACTGATGGAAACTGGTCCTCCTAAACATTACATAAAGAGTAGAGAGCATAGTGTAAAGTATGTTTTAGTATACTAAGCTATTGTAAAATTTACACATAAAGACGTATCTTTAACAAGAAAATAATTTCTTACATTTTCTGTCAAGTTTTATTAAAGAGATCATTACAAAACTTTCTTTGGTTAAACCTCACCTCTTGTTAACTGCCAAAACTGTGAATATTAGTTCAACTGCCGACTTTATGAATATTTTAAAAATACAGTCAACTCCTGCAGCAGATTAATCTTTAGAATATTTTTATGTTTAGATGATAATTCTGGAGATGAAAGTCCCAAGCTTGGCAAAATAAGGAGAAGAATACATTTAACACCAGAAGTTTCGAAAGGTATGTGTAGAACATTTTTTCAACATCCACCTATCATTTCATATACACATGCAGCATAACTACTGCATACATTTAAGCTTTTTATCAAAATGATGCTTAATTAACCAATTTTAAGAACTATTTTGTATCAATTTTGACAATAAGTATTAGTTCAAAATGTATTTTGAAATTTTCAGTAACACTTACCATGTATCCTTGTGTTTTATTTGAATATTTCTCTATTTATTCTTAAGCTATACAAATGTTGATTATCACTGTGTACATGTCTCTCAGAAGAAAAAAAATCATGCAGTTTTATTGAGTGATGTGATTCCAAGTAGATTTGAAATTGCAGCCAAACAAGTTGGACATTGTTTCGTTTGTGAGCTTTTACTTGTGACCATTAGGTGCTCTACAGTAACCTTTATTTTTCTGAATTAAATCCTTCAAAAACAGTTTTTATTCGAAAGCTCTATAGTCATTATGAATTGTAATATTTGTAAAAATAAATTGCATGAACATATTGCTCTCTTAAACTTTTCTTTTTTAAGGATCTGATTAGCAGCACACTTTTGACACTAGCAGCATGTATGAAAAGCATCAGTAACTTAATTCTTTTGTGCTCAGATTTATTTGTTCACTTAGACTTGTAACTTGTTTCTTTGCATAATTATTTCCTTAGATTATTATTTTATTATTTGATGAATTATGTGATTATTTTCCTGTGTTTATATTTCTAAGTCCAATTTTAGTTGTTCTAATTATTTTTTTCCCATATTCTTGCTAATTTTAATAATATTTGTGTGATAAGTTCAACAACGTTTTTATCAGTGCTTTTGTCTCTGTGCTTCATGCTGAAAGTTTGTAGTTAGAACCTTTGTATTATCTATCTTTTAATGATCATTTCTAGCCTAATTCCATTGTAACACGGTCTTTAGTGTCTGACAAAGGGCATATGCTCAAAACGTAGCACAAAATAAACTAGAAAAACTTTTCATCTGGACGTGTCAATTTATTCTTTATTATCATTTATCCAAGTTTTCATGTCTTGTGGAATAATGCTCATTCAAGAATTTGCATTTCTTTCATTATCCTTCAACCTGAAATCAGAATTCAGACACATTACTAACATCTAGTGTTTACTGTATTAATAGTGGATTAGCATAATGGTTGGCTCAATCATTCCCATGCAGCATTAGTATAAACTTATGTTTAGAATAAACCTGATATCATTATTTTTGTTGCTAAAAATATGCATAGTTGTTTTTTTTAGTACATCAAGACACACAGTAGCATGTCATGTGACCAAAACAGCCTGCAGGACACACTGTATGTTATTAACAGAAGTGATAGTTTAGCAATATTCCACTTTCTGTAGCTCGGACTGTGGTAATCCAAACCATCACATATCTTCAGTGGATGTGTTCTACTAGATCCTTACTTCACACACCAGATTTCATGGCAATCCATTATAAAATACACGATATATAAAATTTCCAATTTTAATTGAATTTCTCCCTTTTTTTTTCTTCGCACCAAATTATGGAAACTTTATTTGAAACAAAAACATACTTAACTTTCATGGATTTTTTTTCAAATTTGGTATACTGATATATCTTTACAACTTACAATTAGGTGTCAAATTTGGTCTAAATATAAGCCATATATGCAAAGTTATTCAACAAAAACCACTTAGTTTTGACCAAAATGTTTGCACACGCTACAGAAAAAGTCACATGAGCTATCAATCTGAAATGTTTACTACAGCTTTAACTAAGAGTAAAAGTGAACCATTTTTTGTCATTCAGATTAAAAACAACTGATTTAGAGCAGCAAAACTAAGGTGAAAGGATGTGTAGATATATATTTGTTAGGCCAACCAAACTAGATTAGCAGTTTCTAGCTCAAGTTTTCGAAAGAATCATTTGGGTGGATGATTATTATTCATTGCCAACTTTTAAGCACAAATTTACTAAATTTTATGAAATTCTCCTAATTAAAGAGCATTTAGCATCACGTGATGACAAGAAGCTGTTAATCTAGTTTCCAAGGCATTACCATAAATGAAGTTTTTAACACTGTTTTAGAGAGGAAAAACTACCATCATAAGTTTTAAAGAATCTGGTTGGTTCTGTAACGTATAGGTCTGTCACTTTCTTACTTACTGTGGTTTGTTGGTGTGTATTGACAAAAAGTGGTGATATCTAATGAAAAACACCTTAGGTGTGAAAAAAGAGGTGCAGCCAAAAAAAGGTAGCTACACTTATAGTATTGATAAGAATTTTACAGCAATTTGGAGCTTGATGATTGGTAAAACAAAATATGCAGCATAGTTAACTAATGAATTAATATTTGCAGTAAAATTCTTATCAATGCTATAAGTGTAGCTACCAGTTTGGCCGCCAATTTTGATTTCATTCCTTTAAGTCGCATGCTCAATCCTTTTTTGGCCACACTATTTTTTCACACCTGAGGTGTATTTGTTTAGATTATGTTATATATAACACATGGAAATGCTGTTATCTGAATGTTTTTTACTTTTATTGTCTAATTTTCTCTCAGTTAATGTTCATGTTTTGAACAACTTAGTTCTTATGTATGAACTGTCAACTCAACTTCATTTTGTTCTTCTTGTGTAGTTCTTTTCTAGAACACAAGTTGTACAATCTCTACATATAACTTTGATGTGATAAGTATTTCAGTTGTATTTATTGTTTTTATTGAATATATGTACAATTGCATGTTATGTAAGTCACTAGCTTTGATTAGAATTGGTTTTATTCCTAAAGTTTGGCTATTTAAATGACAAAAGAAAAAGGAAATAAATATTAAATATTACATTATATAACCAGAGGATTAAGTCAAACTTTACACTCTTAAGAATAGACCACCACAAGTATCGAAACCCAGGTTTTAGTAGGTATGAGGGGGACTTTAAAAATTTACTGAGCTCAATCTTTAAATTAAGCTAAAAAAGTTTTATCAAACTTCAAAGTACTAAAATGCTAAAAAAACCTGATGTATCTCCAATTGTTTTTAGAGTGTAGTGGTTAACTGTGCTATTTGTTTCTTATAGGATTTATTTGTAGATATTACAACAATAGCAACATTTTAAATGAATACTATTTTACTTAAAAGAAAATTTTAGTTTTGATTCTAGTTTTTGATTTTCTTTTGCTTTTTTCCCAAAAAATATTTAGACTTGAATATTTATGATATGAAACTTTATGTTTCAATATTTGTGTTTTAGAGTTACCACAAATACCATTTGAAATTGAGAAGATGAAAGAAAGCCATCAAGATGAGCTGGAAAAATTGAAAAATAACTATCAAATGTCCCTCAAAGAAATGGAAGACTCTTACAGAAGTAGAGTGTCTGAACTTGAAGCTCAACTTCTAAGACAAGCAGATCTGGACAAGGACCAGATGGATATCAGCTTAGATGGCTGTGTACAGATGGATGCTCTGGTACAAAGGTTACAAGAAGAGCTGGACCAACAACAAAACATGACTGAAACTTTAAAAAGTCACATGCAGCTTGATCTGGAAGAAATAAAAAAACAGCTTGAAGACGAGATAAGAACCAAAGAACAAGGTTTTAATGAGAAGCAAGCTGAGATAGAAAAACTGCAAGAACAATATACCTTGCTGTTAGACCTGAAAGACAAAGAGCTAAATAAGCAAATTGAAGTGAACAGGCAGCTAGAAATTCAGAAGCAGGAGCTTCAGAAGAAACTGGAAGCTGAGATATTAAGCTCCACAGATAAAGAACAAAAGGCAGAAACTAATGAAACATCTAAAATCAACAAAGAAGGTAAAGAAGATGCTACAAACTTCAGAAATGGTGCTAGTACTTGTAGTACAGAACTTAATCCTTGTATTAAATCCTTGAAAGTCCAACTACAGAGTGACTTAGAGGCTCTGGTAACTCTGTTAAATTCTAATCTAGGTCAGAAAGCAGGTGGAGATGATGCTTTTGAAAATAAGTATAATGAAAAACTGGATGCTATCCTTTTGGAAACACTAAGTGCTGTAGATAACCATCTAGAGAAAAGATATCTTCAAAAACAAGAGAAGATTAAAGAACAATATGAAGAAGAATTAAAACAATTAAGTAAGTTAGATTTTGTAATATTACTAATTATACTTATGTGTATACAGAGTATGAAATAATTATTTTGTTTTGTGGGTCGTTTATAGGAATTGGTGAACAAGAAAAACATTGACAATTTTTTTAAAATCTACATAAATAAACTAGACTTTAATAAGAAACTGGGGTATATTTGTACAGTTATAGATAAAACAATTTACACAATGAAATAGTTACTACATTAACAATTTTTTTATGCATCAGATGTAAAGATAACTTAGTTTTTTGCTAACACAAGCAAATATAAGGAGTTTTTAAATCCATTTAGCATGCCTTAAACTTATGAATCTTACATATATATATATTTATTTTTTTTCTTTTGCTTCTGGTTATTACATTTTTAGTAATGTAGCCTTTATACCACCAATTTTCACAACACAGGTTAATTATATCAGTATTGGAAATTATAATCGAATTTGAGTATATCCTTGAAAATGTGTAACAGTTTACTTAGTATATACAAAAGCTAATGACTTCATCAAGTTACATTCTGCTATTAACACTTAAGTTGATCAGCTTCACAGATGGGTATAGATAATAGCACAAGCAGCAATGGTTCTGAATTTTCACATGGGCTTGTGAAAGTTGAATCATCTGGAAATAGACAAAACTAACAATTTTTGAAACAAGCTAAATTGTTGATAAAATGTATCATTGTATACTTCTTCATATTACATATCTCACAGCTGCATGATGTCTAACATTCCATTCCTTGAATGTGCCATTCTGTGATGGTCATATTTTGAATCTTACCACAATTAAGCTTGTATTCATATGCTTTATTCTTTAAAATTTTAATATTAAGAAAATTAACTTATGTTTGACATAATTTCATGAAGTTTCAATTTCAAATACTTTCACTTAAACTTTTATTTTTTTTTAAATCTGTATTTTAATATGGAAACCTTAAATTTTGCCTGCATTTTCCAGAGTTAGTTGGTAATTTTCTGAATGGTTATCATTGTTTCAATCTTTGATATCTAACATGTATTATACTAAAACTTCTTATGTAGAATATGGATTGGAGTGGTGTATTTACATGCATTTAGGAAACATTTGTTATTTTCACAATTATCAAAAAGGAATAATAACATCCAAGAATAATGTAACATAACATTCAAATGAAAAAAATTGTTGCACAAAAAAGGTTAAATGGATTAAATAATGGTTTGGTGTGTTACTTTGTATATAAAAATAAATGTTTTTTTTTCACTCAGTTTACAAACAAACTTTTAATTTACTGGTAACAGTAAATGTGCATTAGCCAAATTCCATAAAATACTGATGTATTTAACCAATTAATATTTTTAATTGACAAATCTCTTATCCAGTATTAAAGTTTTGAAGAATTTGAGCGTAAGTTTGGTTAAAAGTAACTCTCAGAACACAATTTTTTCTGTAAACTGTTGTTTCAAAACTCACCTAAAATACACCAAATTTATTACACTAGAAATATGAAACCGATATACAATTAAAATCAGCACAGTATTAGTGATGAGTATGCTACTGGAGTCAAGTTATTTATTTCTTCCTAATATTTACAGTAGTAACTGATGGTTAGATAAAAGAAACATATTCAGCAGCTACAACTAATTGTCAGTGTGTAAGTGCATATGTTTCTTCATAATTTTCCAGTTTAAAATACTTAGTTAGCTTAAGCTTAGATTGCTGTAAAACTTAAAAGAATTATTCCTACTTGATGATATAGTGTATGCATAGAAACCAATTTTATTAATAAAATAATTCATATCATATACAAAAAAGGATAACCCACAATGCTAGAATTTGCATTTTACAGCAGTATGTATAGGAAATCAGAGTTTGATGTGTGACATCCTTTACGTGATAGTTGAAGATGTCAAATATGAACATGTTAGATGTACTACAATAAATATTAGTTAATGCTAGCCTGTTAAATTCAGTGCATGAAGCAAAGGAATATTTCAACAAGATTCTTAGAGAGATTAAACTGCAATAATGTCAAGTAAGTCTTTAGAAAAACCCACAGAACAATTATATCATTTAAAACCTATAAAATGTGATTATGTTGCCTGGCTATGTATGTTAAGTAATAAGATTATTGTAACCTGCATGATTAGCTGTATGATTAATCCAACAATTAAATGTGCCTGTAGGACAGGAACACATGTTGGAGCAAGTCGAATTGGAACTACAGTATAAGGAGGAATTTCACAAACTACGGCACAACAAGTCACAACATTTGAAGGTTGGTAATGCACAACAAAAATATATTAATTTTGTGTGTGTGTGTGTGTGTGTGATTCATTTAGGCTATACATTCTTATTCTAATCCACTAGTGAATGATTTCCTGCTAAGTAGGGTCTGATTTTTTAATGTATAATGAGTTCAAATTGAATTCAAACAGTCTGGAACACGATATTGTTAATCATAAAAGAATAAGTTACCTGCCTTAATATTTTCCAGATAATTTCTCCTTAATGCATGTCCTGAAATAGAACTTGTTTTTTCAATGCTGTAACATCAAACAATAAGACTTAGGCTACTAATTAGAGTATTACCTCTTTGCTTTCCAAAAATAAAAGTGAGTCCTCTGCATTTAATCTACTCCAAATGTTCTTATAACTTTAACAAGGGTGTTTTTCTCTTTTTCATGCTGGTATTTAAACAAATAAATAAAATCAGTGTTTACAGCATTTTTTTTTTAAGTAGTAACTTTTAATAATTTTGTTTAAAAATATTCATACATAATTACTGTATTTGATTTTTGCCATTTCTATTTAATTTTTTTTCAAAAAAGTGGAAACTTATGGGTTTAAAATAATGGAATCTCTTCCAGAAAGCATTCATTGCTTGTATACATTTATGGTGCATCAAGGTGCACTTTGTATGCTGCATAAAGCATTAGGAACACCCTAAAAGATGGCCATTAACCAAAATAGGGTATCACACTTCATGTAGGATGCATGCAGTTTAGGATAAAACCATAGGAACCATCAGTGGACAAGAGTCAAGTCAAAAACAATATTGAGCAGATCAATTTATAGTTTCCAACCAAGAGTTGGTGTGTATAAGAGGCTGGGTTTTTTAGCCTCACCAAATAAACCATCCCCCATGGAACACTATTCTCACTAACTGAAAAATATACAGTATATGTGGAGAGAGAGGAAGAGAAGTCAAAAGAGGGTGTATGTGAGTCACTGAGCAGAGTTTGTTCTTCCCAATTGTGCAAATCTCTCCAGAGTAACCTACCCAAACCAAAGACTTACTCACCACCCATGTTACAACTAGTTTAATTTCTGAAATGAGGGAAGGGGGGGTTTCGTGTGGTCTAGTCCAACACACATACACAAAAAAAGTTTGTTAAAAAAATGTGTGTGTGTGTGTGTATGTATACATATGAGGTTTTTTTAAACGAGGGAGACATTTCACATTATAAGCTTTTTAATGTAATATTCCAGCTTTTGAATACTTGATGTACATGGTTTTTTGAATAAACTTCCAATTCTGTATTATTTTTTCATTGCTATCTATAAATATTAGGTTACTACGTTATATCATAAAAAAATTGTAATGTGATAATCAAAAAAGGTAATGCTTGTAGAACGTTATCATACATTTTTCTTTCTTTCAGATGAAATATCCTAGCCAGACAGATGTGTTATTGAAAGACTTGTATGTAGAAAATGCAAACCTCAGTAGAGAACTGCAAAACTGTGAAGAAAGACTACAAAAGGCTGAACAAAACAGTACTCGACTACAGTATAAGTGTAAAGTGTTGAGTAAACTATTGAAAGACATTACACGAACTGCTGTACTCTAATAAACTGTGTGTCTAGAAAGGCTGGTCAGTTTTAAATAGACTGCTTGCAAATTTTATGTTACACAAAATGCTGATCAGTATTATTTAAGTAAAGTGCTTGTCAATGTTACACACTTTGCAAGCTACTGTGTGGGATTAGCTGGAAGTGGGAAGACTGGTCAGTTAACCTCTGTTTGTATTAAGTTGCCATAGCAGAATTTACACCATATTTGTGGAACTTAGCCTGCAGACTATAGAAAGTATACAAATCTGTTTGTACTGAACAAACTTGAAACAGAGTTTGAAGGATGAGACTGCAGATCTCATTAAGTTAGTTTTCACTTTCTTTTGCGACGTTTACGTATATGAAAATTATGTTTGTGCTTTTGTATTTTCATTTGTTGTCAGTATATTTTATTATATGAATTGTAAATATGTTTTTGCTAACTGGCTATTAAGTCATATTCACAGACAGTCACTGCACACCATCCATCTCTACACAAGCACACCCACGTACTAGTTCCAAGAAATGCAACCATATTCTCACCTTCTCTGCACACTTCTATAATTGTCATATTTCCAAATATCAAGAACTGCTGTTACTTGTGCAAAGTTTAAAAGCAACATACTTTTACTATAAACAATTGCTAACAAACTCTTACTCATTTTCACACTTTGTTATACTGTTGTATTCTGTGCTATAATGAATATACTAGACATTGACACTTTCTGCTGTAAATATTTCCATTGTTACTTTTTCATCATTTGGGTTATTGAGTTTTTATGAGATGTATTTAAAAAATATATGTGAGGTAAAATGTATTCTTATTTTTTGTACTTTTCAAACACTCACAGAACATTAGTTTAAGTGATCATTGTTTAAACAATGTGGATGTATTCTAGGAACTCTAGGTGCTTTTGTTTTAACTTATATTGCATCACATCTTCCATATGATATATCTCTCTGATTTTAAGAAAAGCATTGAATATCTGTGCTACTGTTGTCAAGAATAAAATAGTTAATTTTGGAAGTCTGACATCAAAATGATTTTCTAATAGTTTATCTTAACTGAATGTGCACAAGGTCAGTTCAATGGGCCAACCCAATTTTGGAAAAAGTGTGTTGACTACTAAAAGTCTGAATTTAATGTGTGTCAAGCTTTAAGAAAAAGGTAAAATCTAAGAACACAAAAATATCAATGTGTGACAGAAGTATTTGAACTCAAGAAATGTCTGTGAATTGATGATGATGTGAGTGCAAGGTGATGTTCATGTGAAGTATAAAAATACAATTGTTTATCATACAGTTTCATATCTATAGGTTTTTCAGTATCCCTGTATATTGTATCTGGTATTTACCCTTTTCTACCAATTTGCTTAATTAGTATTATAGGGTAAAATTAATATTTAATAATTGTAAAAAGATCGTGGTATGCACACTTCGACCCCCCTTATCCATGCACATTTGGTTAATGTATGGTGAACTATACGAATTGCTTAATATTACACTTGGAACATCATTATACATAGGATTTAAGCTTGCAAGTGAATTATATTCTATATAGATTTCTCTTTTAACTGAAGAAAGCAAGGATGTAGTTAATCATCAAATAAATGGTGTAAAACATAGAAATATAAAACGTACTAGTTCTGTATAGAACCAACTTACATTCTTAGCATGTGAAAACTTCAATACTCTGTAGTAAAATAGTTTATATCAGCAGAAAATGACAACATTTAGCTGGCTATATGACACTATTTGTTTCAGTGCAAAGCCACATAATGGATTATCTGTGTACTGTCCACCACAGAAAATCTAACCCCAGATTTTAGAGTTGCAAATCTGTAAACTTACAGCTGACCCACTTGGGGATGATATCGTTAAAATTAAGATGTTTGAGGTATCCCAAAAATGTGTTCTGACTTTGTTTCCATTTGTTCTACACTTTAAATATGTCTTCTGTTTCTTTTGTATGTTTGTAAACATATATAAATAATTTACAGATTTTAGTTAAAGAATTTCTGTCACAGGCAATTTCAGTTACATTCACTAAGTTTTATCAAGATTTCTGGAGATCAGTAGCATACACACTTCACTTATTTTCTATTACAGGCACTTTTTCACATTGACTAGACTATAATGAGATCACTAGATCATGCATATACATGTTACTTAATGTCTATGTCAATGCACTTGAATTTCTTTGTTAACCTACTTTAGTATTCTGATAATCATACATCTACTACTAAAGCATTGCTTTATTGTGTTTCTATAATGATTAACATTCATCTGTTTTTTTCCAAAATGTCACATGATTATTTATATTGACATGATCATGTCAGTGCAGTAAAGAATACTATGGATTCCCAAAGTTTGATTCATCACTTACCTGTCTTACAGTAGTCTAATTAATTTAACATTACTCATCCTTCTCTACACATCTGAGCGATTGTTAAAGTATGTCACTTTTGTGAAATTTCATTTTTAATTATATTATGTTAAAAGAATGTTTTTTTTTTTACAGAAATCTTTAAAGTGTTAATTTACTTTTTTCTTTGTTAATAAATACTTCATACTTTGAATCTAAACCAGAAGTAAGATTATTTTTAAGCATTTGTACAGAGTATGGAAGTTAATTGATGGAAAGCTTAACTCTATAGTGTCTCATTTTGCTTCATATTTATAGGATGTGTTCAGTGTGTACCAGGTGAAATAAAAAATAATAATATATTAATCTTTGTTAAATACTTGTTTTTAAGTGGTGTTCTAGTAGTAGACAGTGTATTCAGTAAACATCTGCTTATATGGTGAATCTTTTCTTGCTTTATGCTATTGTACAGAAAAGTTTTATACATAAAGCAGAAGATTAAAGTTTGTATAGTTAGCAGGCTTATGTATCAGAAATTGTTAGAAACATCTTAATTGTTGATAATAAATATTGTAAAAGCATGTTCAAAAACTATTTTAAATAGAAATATAAACAAGTAGGTTACTGATGTGTGCATGTTTCTTTCAGACAGAAATTTTGTTGGTATTAATAAATGTCAAAATCGTACCATAATACTTTATTCAAGAGTTAAAAAACTGTGATATCTCATGTTGAACTAAAATCCAAAGAAGTTATACTTTGCACAGTGTAAAGTACATGAATCATTTCGGTAGCTACAGAGACATGAGGTAAAATGTACCCTTTCCAAAGTGCAATTTGTAAAATTATATTGGTGTAAAATAAATTATATGACTTTTACTTGCTATTTCAATTTTTTTAACTTGATGAAGTCATTACATTTGAGTTTTAATAAAATTAAATATTGGTGAGTGTTTATAATAAAAAATAAAACTGATGGGAGTTCAGGTCAGATATTTTGCTATGTGTAAACTGGTGATATGAACCCTTTTAAATATTATTCAAAAGTTTTATCTACTAACTTAAAGGAGAGACAAAAATGTCAAACCACACTCAATCAATCTGTAACTGTTTTAAAGCTGTAGTACAAATCAGTAGTAAACTACAATTATTAAAAAATAAACTTTTGGTATTTCCCAGCTGAAAATATTAAAAAATAAACATTAAAATGGTATCACAAAATACCAACTGAAAATTTTACTTGTACAATATTCTTTCCATTAAATATAAAACCCTCTATGTGCTACATATTGTGATTGCTAGGTTTTGAAGTATAAAGGGTTGGTTGAATAAAACTTCAACAATAATCTTTTAAAATGAATTTTGGGCATGTGCACTTTTACATTGGAATAAGACCTCTTTTCTTCCTCCTAAATAGCACCTTATCTGTCTACATAGATACTTAAAACAAAAAATTTTCCCATAATTGTGACTTACTGTTTTAAAATAATACTAGTCAAATTTCCAATGAACATTGAAGTTTCCTTGATTATTTTCTTCTCACTTACAGTAAATGCTCATGTCCTTAAAATTGTGTGGAACTATCTGCACAATAAAATTTAAGAAACAAAAATGTCAAACAAAGAAAAGAATTTGTTCAATGGTTGTCTCTATGTTTAACAAGTTCTGTTGAATTGGCAACACAATTTCTCACAAATTTGAAAGAAGCAAAGCCCAGATAAATAAAACAAAGAATGGGAGATGAGCTAACTATGAAATACTAAAGAAAATTAATTCACTGGAAAAACCAAGCATAGAAAAGAAATAACTTAAAGTTTGCCATTATGAATCAACAGTTTAAAACATTAAAGTGCCTGGGAAGAACTAAGTAGAAAAGTAATCATAAATGAACAGAAAAATAAGAAAAAGTAAACACCACAATGGAAGAGATTAAACATTTATAAAATATAAATAAAAATTAATGAGATATTTTCCCAAGAAACCAAAAAAAAAAGACAATAACTGAATTTCTAAAGGAATTTTTGATGAAGTCAGAATCTCTGAACAAAAGATATTAGTAAATATGCAATAATACCAGTCATATGGAGTACCAAAGACACAAAGAACTTTTGTTAGTGAGACCAACCCTATATTCTTTTATATTTATCTGGAGTGATTAGGTCATATTTTTTAAACTTTTATCATAATCAAACATAAATGAACTTATGATTGTAAAGCAACACAAAATAAAAAATGCAAAAATATTGCATGTAAACAAAAATACACAAAAAAAGAGAAATTAGGAAGCATTAAGAAAAAATAACTGAAACCTAACATAAATAAAACATTAGCAATACCATTATACTTGTATTAAATTTACATAAAAACAAACCAGATGGGGCTAATGTCATTCTATATAAAACCGTTTTGTTGTTAAGCACAAAGCTACTATCTGTGCTGTACTCACTGCAAATTGTGTAACCTGATTTTTAACATAACATTTACAGACCAACATATATTGTTTCATCCACGAAACTAAACTATGCATAAAGAAAACCTCAAGGTCTGCCATTCAAATATTTATTAAATCTTCCCTTAAATTTACTGCTTCCATCCAAAAAGTTGAAGATGACTCCTATTCTGCAAAAATTTATATTTGTGTCCTCTATTCCTACCATTCTCACCATTAAGTATGCAAAAATATAATGCATAGATACTATCAATTCCCTTAGAAATTTAAACACCTCAATCAGATCCTTCCTAATTCTTCTTTTTTTTTCACAAGAAAACAAGTTAAGAGATCTTAACCTTACCATCCCAGGTACCTCCCTAGTAGATCTCCTCCAAACCCTTTCCAACAGTTCAATGTCTTTCATAAGGTAAAGAGTCCAAGACTGAATGCAATATTTGAAATGTGGCCTAACCAGTGACCTATACAATGAAATTATAACCTCTTTAGACTTGTATTTAATATTTCTATATGTACAACTTAATACCCTACTTGCCTTACCAATAGCAACAGCACAGAGCCTGGATGGCTTAAGAGACTGATCAATTAGAACACCAAGATCCTTTTCGTGCATAAAACTGTTAAGGTTATTCAAATAAAAATTATATTTATAATTCAAATTATGATAATCCACATGTATTACCTTAATTTATCATAACTAGAAGCCAGCTGCCATTTATTAGCCCAATACACCATATAACCCAAATCATTTGCTCACAGTTAGCAACATCCAAGACCTTAATATCATCAGCAAATTTAATCATTTATTGACCACTTCTTCATCTATGTTACTACGTAAATAAAAAAGGACAAAGATCCTAACACTGAGCCCTGAGGTACCCCACTTGCAACATTAATCCAGTTTGACTGAACTACATTTCTGAACAACCCTCTGCTTTCTTCAGTACAGTCACTTTTTTTTATCCAATCAGGTCATTTTTTTCTAATAGGCCTTTTATGTGGCACCTTATTAAATGCTTTTTGAAAATCCAGATGTGTCAACTCAAATCTCCTCTACATATTAAAGCAGTAACCTCTTCACAGAATGTCAAGAGATTAGTGAGGCAAGATTTTCCCATTGTGAAACCATGCTGACTATCTAATAAAATTTTAAACTTTGTTAAGTGACTTTGCTAAGCATCTTTTATCAGCCTTTCAAAACGTTTTTCCACCACTGATGGAATACTAACAGACCTATAATTACTGGGGCAAGTTTTATCACCTCAATTGAAAAGAGAAATCACATTAGCCAATTTCCAATCCTCTGGCACCTGTACCACTATTCAAGGACTTTCATATAAAAAATAGTATTATTGGCTCACAAATTCAATCTTTAGCTTTCTTCAAAACACTTGAGTAAATATCATCTGATCTAGGGGCTTTATCATTCTTCAACTTTTCAATTTTTTCTTAACAAGTTAAGAATTAATGTCATCATTTTGTCTCCACCTAATAATTATCCAGGACAAGGAATATCACTTAAATCTTCATTACTAAAAACTGAAGAAAAGGCAAAATTTAATAACTGGGCCGTGCATTATAAGCCCTCAGAATTACCAGGGGAGCAAGATTATCTGATTGGATGTATAAGTATTATAATGTATATGTACTTCTGAATGATTTACATGATCACGTCTCACTGGTAGAGATGAAATTTTATACTCAAATAAATCTAGTATCTCATCAAAGGTTTTAAAATATTAAATATCAACTGCAAAATGCACAGGCACCTTTCTGGAAGGAGAATGTTTTTCCTTTGTCAAACATAAACTGGTGAGTAAAAAAAAGAAAAAACATACTCTGCGATTTTTAGTGATTTCATGGGAATTAATAGTTTTTGCTATTGACTCACCTGATATATGGAAGTTTGGATGCTGATACTGTGATGAGATTCAGGAGAAATTTCCAGTTTAACTGATGGAGGTAACAAGGCAAGAAAGAAGTTTTGTTTGTTTATTATCAAGCACAAAGCTAAAGAATGAGCTATGCATGCTTTGCCCACTGTAGATATCAAAAACTGATTTCTAGCTTTCTTAACCCTTAGAGTTAGTACTGAGCCACCATTGAGCAGGAAACAAAGTAATCAGTAAGTCAAGTGAAGCTCCATTATATATATATATATATATACCTGCTGTTATAGGTGGTGATTTCATGTTGTTACAAATTCACATTATATATATATATACAGTAATTTATCTATTGAGTATTAACATGTCCAGTTCAATGTTGTATATCAGAAAAACTAAGATGCAAAATTAGCTCAGTTACAGAATTTCTACAATGTCTAATAATTGGCATATGTGAGATAAATTAATCTAGGTGTTGAAGTACCATAGCTGCCAAATGTTGGTGTATACAAGTTTGAATGACAAATTTCACTATGGGGTTATTATAGTTGGTAATTCTTCAGAAATTAGTAATGATTTGGTGTACATTTGATACATCTTAACATTTTTCTCATGCCTGGTAATTTTTCATAAGATATCCAAACAATTTACCCCCAAATGTTAGTATTTTTATCAAAGAAAACATGGATAAAAAACAAAGTAATGTTGACAAGCAACAAAAAACCTAATGGTGGTAATAAGCCCATAGGTTTATCTAGTAAGTGTTAATATACATCTAGTAAGTGGTATTAAATAAAAATGTTATGTATATATATATATTTACCACCATGCTTTTTTTTTTCGCTTAACAGTTCAGCACCTTTTCTTTTTTGGAAGTACCATACACAATCAAATATCCATGCTGTATCAAATAAAGTGTTGAGTTTTTCTGCACATACAGTTCAGGTACATTTTGCTTTGGTAGAATACTTATAATTTTCATAAGTTGTGTGTTTTTATGTCTGAAGCTAAAGCTTAATATTATTTGTTAAACTTCATAATAATAAAATTTATCAGCTTATGTCCACATATAATTCAATGGAAATGCATGGAACCAATAAACTACCAATGAATATATATATAGTATCAATGTGCAGCAACATCAAACAAAGAGTACATTAAAAGCCATCCGCCTTCTTAGAATGTAGTCGACTCTATCAGGTGCTCACTATTTTCATATCTCCAATCATTTTTACAGCATGACAATTCTCTGATTTATACAAAATATTGAAAATAAAAATACACTGACTGAATCATGATGAACTCTGGTGGTGTAAGAAAAACTTGGCAAGAATGACCAATGTAGTAACATGTTTAAATAATTATGTATATAAAAAATGAATATCAATGTATCACTGTTTGTAACTTAAAGAAAATTATCAAAGTATTTAAAATTTTCAACTAGGGGCACAAAACTGAACAACATTTTAGAGAAATTTGTAATGTCACTACATTGATAAATCTGGGTCATCTGGGTTAGAAACAGAAAAGTTCTTTTGACATCAACAGCTATACGCAAAATTCAACAACTCTCATATTTTGTTTTTGCTTAGGTCTAAAGAAAGAAACTATTTGAAAGAGAACATAACACTAACACTATGATTTTTGTATACATTTTATTATTGTTTTTAAATACAGTATAAGGAAACAAACAAGGGACAAAAAGATAATTGTTTTATATAACAAAAGTATTAATTTATATGATATATTGTTCATATTTAAAAGGACCAATTATCCATATACTTCTAAAATTCTGAGATTTGTTTGTTTGCTTGTCTGTGATTAAATACAGCAAAAACGGTGCACAATACTGCCATATTTGTAATGAAACGAGAATAGAAACAGAATAAAACAAGTTTCGCTAAAATCGGGCCACGGGTTACCGAGTTAGCCGCATTTTTCGGGCTACTTTTATGACAATTTCTAGATGAATTTAGGTACACTAGATGGCGCCACATATCGGTTTATCTATCTATCTATTCGTTTTCCACCTCATGAATCACTTTAAAATATCTTCTATACAACAATATATGCACAACAGAAATTAAATGATGAGATGAAAATGTGTTATAATGGCACATAGAAAGAACAACAATAAAATGGACCTACAATATTATTGACTATTTACAAATAGTAACTATGGAGACGAGGTAATAAAATAAAAATCAAGTGGAGAACAACAACAAAATTTTATAAACGAAAATCTCTCGCCGAGCATTAGCT